TCTCAGCTGGGCCTTGAGTGGTACTGCCCTCAGGTCTGTGTTATATTTCTACATTCAGATGAAACACTAGGCAGAAGCAGGTGTGATGGAAAAATAATAAAATAAAGCTGGAAACTCTCCCCCCATTCCCCCTTGCCTCTCCAGCAAACTCTTTACTCCCCCCTCCTCCTTGCCTCTCTTTCTGCCTCCCTTTCCCCTTGCCTCTCCTGCAATCTCTTTTCTCCACTTCCTCCTGCCATTCTCTGCTCATGCAAAACTGGATTAGCTCCAAGCTATTGCATGACCCAAGGGTGACCAGGTTCCGCTGCCAAAAATAGCCCTCTTAACACTATCATACTGAAACAATGGGAGGGCCATCACCTAAAAATAGCCCTCTTAACACTATCATACTGAAACAATGGGAGGGCCATCACCTAAAAATAGCCCTCTTAACACTATCATACTGAAACAATGGGAGGGCCATCACCTAAAAATAGCCCTCTTAACACTATCATACTGAAACAATGGGAGGGCCATCACCTCCCCCATTTAACACCTATCCAAACCTATCCTCCAATCAGATCCCTCAGATTTCCCACCTCTCAAACTCGAAAGGGTATAAATTCTATGCTTTTCCATTGTTGGGGGTTCCTCTTTCTTGGAAAGCAGGCACCCAATGACCATTGCAATAAACATGGTTCTTCTCCTCAGCCTTGTGCTCCTGTTTTGGGCAAAAATTCCATGACGCAGGTATATTTAACTTTTTGTTTTTACAAATACTGTGGAGGATCCCTGTGCCAGTGGCTATAATTGTTTTAAGTAAAAGCAGTGAAGAAAACCATCAGAAAGAAAGAACAGGGAGATTGTTACTGTCTGATAAAAAAAAAATGTGGCTGTCGTGCCTGAAAGAATTATTCTGGACACCCGACAAAGAGAAGAAAATGACCTCTCCTTGCTTGAACATGTGACTGAGAAATGGGAAGGCGTTTTCTGATCAGACATGCCAGAGAGGTATACATGCAAAGCAGCAGCATCCCCAGGAAAGAGGTCAAAAAAGTCAAGATGGTATTCATGGGTATGATCAAAGCCCTACCCATTTGTACACATGTACAATGTTGATGTGCATACAAGAGGGATGGGGCTTCAATTACATGGTCATAACTGCCATCTTGACTTTTTGACACCCCCCCCACCCCCCCGGCAGCAGGTTGAAACATGCATATATCAGGAAAATATTGTAGGGGAGATGGGCGGGAGAGAAATTCAATCAATCAATCAATCAATCAATCAATCAATCAATCAATCAGTAAAATGCCTAGTACAATAGACCCAGTCATCTTCCTGTAACCTGTATATGATCTGTATAGGATCTGGGGACCTGAACAGCCAGAGTTCTTAGCAATGGACTTCCATAGTTCTTCTGGAAGTTTCCCAGGTTGGTGAAAGAGTACACTAGTAAATCAAAGCATGAATGAAATGAAGGCCCCAAAGTGATGGCATTTTCTCCTTCTCCTTCTTTATCATCATCATCATCATCATCATCATCATCATCATCATCATCTTATTTTGCTTCTTTTTCCCCACAAGCTATGTCCTGGCATGTAGTCAAACTAGGCTAAGTGGGATCAGGCTTGGCAAGTATTGGATGGGAGCTTGCCAGGAAATCCCAGATTAGACTAGAAAGTCAGAAATACATCCCAGAAGGAGGCAAATGGCAAACTGTTGCCCCAAACCCTACATGGCTGTCCATGAAGTCATCAAAAGTGAAGCTTTATCCATGTTTGGAACATTTTATATTCTAAAAATGAGAAGGGGAAATATGCTTCTGTGTGGCTAGATTTAATAATTAGTTAAAGGATTGCATTATATTTATATTAATAGTATCTGGATCTTTTCTCTCTCTCTCTCTCTCTTACGTTTTAGGTTATTTTTAATTACAATTAAGTATAATTGTTTGTACTATCAATGCTGTGTTACCTTTTTTTCCTATTATATGTCGCCAATAAAAATATAATCAACAACAATCAACAGATGAACTTAGCTTGGAAGACTTCATTTAATTTCCTCTCAAGGAAATGAGTGTATAAGAGACAGACAGAGGCGTTAGACCTCAGCTTCCAGGATCCCAGTGGACAGGGCTAATGTTCTAGGTTTTGTAATCCAGCCTGGAGGACACCAGGTCACTTACCTCTGTTTTGAACTGTGTGATTACCTTCAGCAACTTTGCTCTGAGAATATGCTGTTTTTTCTGGGGCTGAAGATATATTTCCCTGAATATTTGTGGGAAGCGCATAACTTGTGTCAATGCCAGATTGTATGTTTTTAAAAAGCATTCTTTTAGATCAGCCATATAAAATGTATTTGGGCTGATGGGCATATTAAGAACTTGTCAGTTATTATGTTAAGTTGTCAGAGTACATATTTATTGAGGAATATCTTGTCCCCAAACAGAACCACAATCCAGATTTTTGTGAAATAATTTTTGCTGTTGATAGAATTTGAGCAACGTTTTCCTTTCCTTTGCAAAAAAATAAAAAAAGACGTTTCTGTTCCTTCAAATAAAAATGGGAATTGGAAAAAAAATGCAGTGCTTAAATTCACATAAACACACACGTAACATCCAACCACAAATACTTTGCTGATGCACAACTTGCCAATGTATCATTTCAAATAGAGGCTTGCATTTTGTAATGGTTGCTCTAATTTCTTGAGACTGCCTCTAGCAGAATTTGGTGCTGTCAGTTGAAAGGTGTGTGGGATTGTTTAAAAAATGGATATTAATTCTCTCTATGACTTTAATAGCAAGCCACTTGCAAAGTCTGGACTACATCTATAGACTACATTCACTAATTAAATGCTTGCGTATCAAAAATAACAAGGGACACACAGATCTTTTGATTGCAACAAGCAGCAACAGAGCTTTATTGGACAATTTTCATCAGTATCAAAAGCCAGTCATGAATGAACTGAAGAAAGAGAAAGCATGTCCTCCAAGAAAGTGCTTTAAAGAATGGATGAAACAAGGATTAAGGAGGGCAGGGTGATCTTTTGTGATGGTCAACAGAGAGATAGAAGAGTAGAGCCCTATCTATTGTGGGGGTTTATGCAGAGAAATTGGGCAGATGTGCTCTTCCTTGATCAGTAGAAATTCTTGGAGGAATTTGGGAGCATCATCGATTGCTAATTGGTTAGTCACAAGGTTTTCTTCCAAGTCCTATTGAAAAAGACAAAGAGGGGAAAATGAATCTTGGGGGAATTGGGAAATATGAGCAACAAGAACTGAGGCAGAACTCATGTGTTCTTGGTGGTCAAATGTGTTTTCTAATGACCAGGACAAAACATGTTCCCTGAAGATATTGTCTCTTTACCCCAACAGAATGAAATACAGGTAGTCCTCAACTTACAACCACAATTGGGACCAGAGCTTCTGTTACTAAGTGATGCGGTCGTTAAAGTGAGTCATGCCCAATTTTATGACCTTTTTTGTCACAGTCATTAAGCAAATCCAACTTGCCCATTGACTTTGTTTGTCAGAAGCCTCCTGGGAAAGTCACAAATGGCGATCACGTGATCCTGGGACACTGCAACCATCATAAATACATGCCAGCTGCCAAGCACCTGAATTTTGATCACGTGACCGCAGGGACACTGCAATGGTCATAAGTGAGACGACCAGTCATAAGTCACTTTTTTCAGTGCTGTCGTAACTTCCATAGTTGTTAAACAAATGGTCATAAGTGAAGGACTACCACTAAACAAGCAACAAGCACTTCAAGGTTATAATTTGTATGTTACTTTAGATATTCAAAAAACTAGTTAAAAACAAAAACATTTCAGATACTGAACAGCAGCAAATGTTATAAAATCATTTAAATTAGAAACCTGTTGTAACTTTTGGGAAAAGTAGACAAGCAACCTTGGGGCTTGTCTTGAAAAGTATTTTAGAACTATTCTAAACCAACAAAACAATATTTTGTTTCATAAATTCATCATTGTCTTTCTGATTCCATGTTCTTTGTTTCATCTCAAATGTAAGCAATCTTTGTTTGGGTTGATGGTGGGGACACCTGCACAGGGTGCCATCCCTTGTTTAGGTGCATCCCACAGTGGACTCTTCTGTCAAAGAGCCTTCTGCTGCCTTTGGGTAGCCCATCAAAGGCAACACTCCAAAAAGGGGCAAGACTCCAGGACCAAAAAGTGATTGGGGGGGGGGGGGTTAGAGCTGACATCTCTCTTGACCCTAAATCCCACTTGGACTTAACACTTTGAAAGCAAATGTTGCAAAAACCCTGTAACTTTGTAAAAGTGCTTGCAGGATAAAGAAAGTACTTCACCAAATTTCAAAAGTTATAGAAGAAAATAGGGATGGTTACATGTGACTATTAAGTTGGCCAAGCCCTCATTTAAATAATCAGTTTTAGAGGAGACAAAGAAAATGGAAGGTTTCTTGCACGGTGAAGGAGATGCCTGGAACCAGATGTGCTCAGGATTCAATGGTACTCTCCTTGACACAGAAGAACCTAGAGATATGCTACATCCTGCCCCACCCCACAATCAGCAACCTATATGAAGCTTCCAGTTTGGCTGCCATTGGTACACATATTACATTGCCCTAACTTTTGCCCTTATGCCAAGTCAATGAAGTGATGTTCTCTGCCAATTACAGACTCCAGCCTCAGACTTAGCTCTAGTTCCTACCACTAACCTGAGAAACTCTGAACTCTGCAAAATATAGCCTCCATCGCTATAGTTCCAAACTTGGTGGCCCACCTTAGTTGAACAAATGGATGGAACTGAACTCTATGTTTAGGATAGTAGACACAGAGGAATTTGCAAACCCAAATGATAGATAATTCCTTAGAGTGCCAAACAGCTGCATCTGCAGTGGTCAAATGCAGTATGGTTGCTTCCCAGTATTCCCATTTCTGATCTTCCATAGTTAATCAGGATTCTACATATTTTTTCCCATTAAAAAGATTTCCATAATTATAAAAGGAAATATGCCACATTTGAAATCACCTTTACTGATTAATATTACTCTTCCCTGCAAACAGAAAAGGGAAAGAGAACAGGAAAAAACAGCAGTGTCATCTTGATCATGGTAATTCTCACCCGTTTTGCAAGATGTGGGATAGGACTGACAACGCGAAGAACTCCCTCCTCCTACACAGACGCCTCCTCCGCCGATGCCTCCTCCTACACAGACGCCTCCTCCGCCGATGCCTCCTCCTACACAGACACCTCCTCCACCTATTCTACCACCTCCATATCCTCCTCCACCTCCTGAGCCACTGGAAAAAGAGAAATATAATCAATCAATCAACCAATAATTAAAATTCCTTCTCGGGGAAAGAATCCCCCCCCCCAATAAAGTAACTATTATGACTTTGGCATCAACTTCTAAGCTTCCTTCATGTTCAGTAGAGTACTATCATTTAATCTGGGAAAGAATTCTACCTGAGTTCTTGGAGAGCTGCTACTAGTTGGTTTTATCAGAATTTGTCAACGTGGACTAGCAGTCTAAGTCAATACAAGGCAATATGGTAGCTTGGTTCACCACACCTATTCATCACCCCTTTTCCTTCTCAACACTCAAGCCTTCTTTTGACATTACACATGCAAAGTTCCCATCTTCTAGGTAGATTGCATAACCCCTGTTTATTCCAGTGACATTTAATGCTGCAGAATTTCAGTTCACTGGAAGCTAACAAGGATAGAGTGCACGTACTTTATCCTTGTTGGCTTCCAGGTGAACTGGAATTCTGCAGTATTTACTCTAGTCCACTCTACTCTACTCTACTCTACTCTACTCTACTCTAATTTACTACTACGCCACACCACATCACACCATGCTACACTACTGGCAATGGTAACTTCTGATGAAAAAAATATCACTGAAGCAGTATCAGCAGGTTCTGCTGATGCTGACATGTTAAGTATACATATGACTTCCTAAAAGGGCTAGAACCTTTCAGAAGATGCTTGTTGAGATCCATTATTGACAAGATTTGTTCAAGACAGAGATCCTAACTTCTGTTTGGAAAGCAATGGATTCACATCTTCTACATTTCCTAGTCAACATACATTTCTTGCTGTCCCTCCTCAAGCAATCGGCGGTATTGGCAGATCTCCTGTTCCAGACGCGTTTTGATGCCAAGCAGCAGCTGATATTCTTGACTCTGACTCTCAATCTCACACCGGATGCTAGCCAACTCTCCTTCTACTGGTTCAATCATAGTCTGAATCTGTTGTAGCTGCATGTTGTAGCGACGTTCCGTATCCTCCAGATTGGTTTGCAGAGACTGGATCTGAAAATAGAAAGGCAACTTATAGGACATGATCTTCAGGAAAGTGCTGAGATGCTTTTAGCAGAAGGGAAGGGATAATAGAAATATTTGGCTGCTAGAAAATCAGTTGTATAACATGCAGACTATAGTTATTTCCACATGCTGTCACATACCATGCTGATTTGAGACTGGAGCTCAATCTCAAGGGCCTGGTACTCTCGTCTCAGTTCTGAAAGTTGTTGATTGCCTGAAGTTAACTCCTGGTCACTTGTAGTCACTTGTTGGCGAACCTCTTCCATCTAAAAGATACAACAGAACAAGAAGAAAAGAAGAAAGAAAATAATATAAGTTGTGGCATCTGGCATGGGAGTGGTGGTGGAATAGACCATGTTAGAATACTGATATCTTCTTCTTAAAATACTTTCTTCCTCTCCAAACTACTTACTGGCCAGGTGGGCTTCCAACCAAACCTCCAGTTCTCTCTTGAGAATAGAACACTTCTGTGCACATAAGACACTGCCAACAGTTGACCAGATTTGTATCTGACTGAATATCCCACTTCTTGAAAATATTAAGTCTAAATCTGGGGATAGGAAACTTCCAGTCCATGAGCCTGATCCATTCAATCAGGATAGCCCATCTGCCTCTTCCGCCAAAGCCCCTCTCCTCCCATAGCCCTTCTCCCATAGCATCCACGCCAGTTACACTACTCCAACTACGCAACCCTTCAAGGTGACACAATGGCACTGGTTGCTATAAACAATGCATGTGTGTGTATGGGGGAAGGGGAGGAGAAGGGGTTGTTGCTGTTTGTTCTTGTTTATTGGTTTCCCATGGTTCAGCTATTGCTATTAATGAACTATTGATCTGATCCCTACAAGCTCTTCTTTTCTTATGTTAAGAATTATGCTAACTACTTTTTACCCACTGCCTGAAACTCCAGATTGGTATCTGACTGAATATCCCACTTCTTGGGCTCTGACTCCCAGATTTCTCGCTTTTCAGCTCCTATTTTCCCAACTTTTATTTAGATTGCTTCCAGGATGTCTCTGGGATGTACAAATTCATATTTAGCTATTTCTTGCAACCTGAAACCTGGGCTTCTCTTAAGCTCTTGTCAGCAAACCCCACAAAGTATTTCTAACAGTGCTGCTGGTGAAAGGAAATTGCATTTTCTGAATGCTAGGAAAAGGGAGTACTTAAATATATTTCACTTGCCTTGCTTTCATACCAGATTTCCACCTCTTTTCGGTTTTGCTCAATGATGGTTTCATATTCACACCGGAGTTGATCCAGACGTTGTTTCAAGTCTTGTCCAGGGGCAGCATTCACTTCAACACTGACATCACCATGACCTCTCTGGCTTCGGAGTCCTCTCAGAGTCTGTAGCAATGGGGAAGGATAAATGAATCATAAGAAACTGGCATTAAAACAAACTACTTTATGGGCAGAACAATCCTATTTGTAATGTGAAGAGCCTAAACAGAATAGAAGAAGGATGCTTTATATTTCCTCCTCACGGAAGAAAAATTCTTTGTGGCATCTCTGTGGCTGGCATACATTAATTTTGTAGTCCAGCTATACCTGTGGACAAGATTCTTACAGTTCTACAGTACTGTCTCTCATTGCAGGCCTGGAAAATACCCCCTTCAGTCTTCTCCCTTCCCTCTCTCTGAAGTTAGAGTTCTGACATGGAAAGCAAAAGGACTCAGTATGCCTTTGGGTCCCACACAGTAGTATTCTTAGAAAACAAAATAGTGGATGATTATTCCTAGCAAAGAACATCACGGGTGGTTGTAGCCAGTATTTTTTTTTTCCTGTTGTATGAGTGCTTTGTGATTGCCCATACCCATTGTGGCAACAATTTTGTGAATGTGCAAGCCATAATTTGCTCCCCAAATTCTGAATTTGCCCACTGAATCAAAAACGCTAGGGAAGTCAATTGTAAGTGCTTCCAGGTCTGTTTTATCCACTTTTTCTTCACAGTATGATATCATTTCTGTATGTGGAAAAATTAAAAGAGGAAGTAGGCCTTTAAAATGTGGAAATATGAGATTAGGTGAGAAGGTAGATTGCTGCACCTTCACAAAAAAAGAGGGCAAGATGCCACATGAAAGACATTTGTTTTCTGGGTACAATTTGGTTGGGAATTATGCCATTGACTCTTTACTAGAGAAGTGTTTCCTGGTACAAGATATACCAAAGAACAGCAGGGAAGGATTTTGGGTGTCATAAAAATGCATGCTTTGAATTTTGTTCCCAAACAAAATGGATGGTGGTGGTATATTATCTGGAAAATAAGGGTGGGGGAGCTCTGAATGTTAGAATTCTGTTTACTGCTGACTAGTGCTCTTACCTCCTCATGATTCTTCCTAAGACATATCAGCTCCTCTCTGAGGGACTCACACTGCATTTCCAGATCTGACTTGGCAAGAGTGAGTTGATCCAAGAGTGGGCGCAATCCATTAATGTCAACCTCCACATTCTGACGGAGACTCGCTTCAGTGTTATATCTAATCCGAAGGAGGGTTTAGGTATCATTAGTGACCACATTTGCAAAAAGCGTACCAAAAAACAAATCCTTTATGAAAAAAAGTCAACAATCCCCCCAAATACAATGAAGAGCGAAGATGTTCAGAGATTGTTGAATGTTGGCTGTTTATTTAAGGGGTAAAAAGAATACAGGGATGAAGGGGGATGAAATGGAGTATCCTCCCAGAAGAAACCACTTCCAGACAGAGAAATTTTGAAAAGGCACACTCCACACTCTATGATTGTGTGAAACCCCACTTTTGAATTGTACTATTATTGGCCCCTTGGAGTTTGTAATCAAGAAAAGTGGTCTATCCCTTCCTCAGGTCAAATCAATGAATGCAGCAAGAGTGGAAGGAGGCGGGTGAGAAATGCATCATACTCACTTCAGTTTAAAATCTTCAGCTGTCATCCTGGTGTTATCAATATTCAGAAGAATTTTGTTATAATCATCTGTTTCACAAATAAGCTGGAAAAGATAAATAATAGAAATGTTTATGACATAGTAGTAAATAGACTGCCATGGTTCTTTTGATTGGTTGGTATAACTGATGCTGAAATACTTATTTTGACTCATTTGTAAGATTATAACTTAAGAAATGTGAACATCTGATAAATAACATTTTCTTCTTCTTTTTGTTTTCTTCTCCAACTATCTTTTTGGTATGATTTTAGTTCTGCTTTTCAAACCTGATTTTTATGGGTATCTGCTGGATTTTGCTTATGTTTGAAGACATGGGCTGGTGCTTCTATGTGCCAACATATTCATTTTCTCTGGCAGTTGCATTTGTGAATCAGTTCCCATTGAAAACCATTTTACTTGAAAAGGAAGGATCACTGATTGGCCAACCACACACATGTAGCCAACCATTTGGCATTCCATTTATGAACTATTGAACATACATATTTGAATCAGCTCCTGCATGGAGAGCCTAAATTCAGTTCTGTGCCCTAGCACATGGAATCACCTGGGCTGCCCCCCTTCTCTGAAGTGATCCCTTTCACTATGGCAAATAAGGATTTGGATCAACTTCCCAAATTGATGCCTACCAATAGTCAATCTAGTGGTTTCATTTATACCTTTCAAGGAAAGAGATCAAAGATTCCTAAAACACAGAAAGTAAGACTAAAGGGAAAGCTAACATCTCCCAGGTTAAAAGATAAACAAATGTGTGTACTTCATAGCTAATTATCAGTACAAGTTTCCATGTCTGTCCCACTTTTGCCTAGTGCCTCTCTGTTGACCTTTGAAATATTTCTTCCTTTTTGTTTCATCACTAAACAAATATTTCTAAAAAATTCAATCTTGTTATATATGATGTTCTCAACAGATTTAAAAGAAGAAACTAAAATCCTTCCCAAAATATACCTCTTGGAACCCGTACTTTATTTTTACAGTATATGACAGATCCACTGTATTAAATGTAGATTGCATTATTAAATTATGCATTTTCAGGACTAAGAATATTTAAGCTTTAAGTTATCACTATCGTTATTAATCACAATCTAACAATAGAATGAAGCATTAAAAACTTCAGACTTTGTAGCATCTGCTTAAAAACATCACAATGTGGTGGGCTTATTTAGTCAGAAGTGACCTACTTTCTCCTAAATTTATTTTGGGGATAAAAAAAATGAGGTCTTTGAAGTGATCCAGATTCTAAGGGCAAATGTGATTTGAAGCCTGCATGGCTGTGCATGTAACATCTGACAAGAATACCTCCTTCCTGGTCTGCTATGCATGCCCTTCTCACTGTACAATCTTGGGAAAAGGCAAGATTGGTTCAAGGTGGTCTTAGCTGTTGTCAACTCATATTTGAAACTTCAATAAATCACCACACAATCCTAATAAATAATTTAAAATCTTGCTGCTACTACCACACAATAACAAATTCTTATACTGATGTTGTTTTCTTTCTTATCAGCTCTTTTTCTGTAGAATAAGGCAGGAAGCGGTAGGGATGTAATTGTATTTGATCTTCATTTACTTAGAGAAGCTGTAGATTATGAAGAATTTGATTTTATTTAACAATAGCATGCAAGAAACAATTACTATAGGGTGCAAGTTGTTTCTAGTTAGAGGTTCATCAACAAAACTCTATGCTTATTTACAAAATGATTGTTTCTGTCTCAGCTCAGCTCATCTCATCATCTCAACTTATCTCATCTCATCTCCTATATCACTGATTGGGATTTCTCTCCTCCCTTCTTGCCCCTCTCTCCTTCCAAAATCTCTTTGGTTTCTGCTGGCCTTCCTTCTAAGGAAGTTCCCACTTCACCCTTTAAATAATGAAACAAAAGCAGCAATCTACCTTATGATCACAGATTGAATACATACCTCATTGTAGAGTTGGTCAATTTCTTGGTAATAGTGGCTATAGTCCTTATCTGGTCCAATATCACCATGCTTCTGATACCATTCTCTGATACAGATCTCAAGCTGACAGTTTTCATCTTCCAGCCTTTTCACTTGGTCCAGATAATTAGCCAGGCGATCATTAAGATTCTGCATGGTTGCCTTGTCACTGCTGGAGAGGAGGCCCCCATCACCACCACCAAAACTACCACTGCTGAATGGGTAGCAGGTACCATCACCATAGCTGCCACCGCCATAGCAAATACCACCATAACTTCCACCGCCATAGCTGCCACCTCCATAGCAGCTACCTCCATAGCTTATTCTCCCTCTAGTAATTTTCCCACAGCTACCACTGCTGAAGCCACCCCCTCCATATCCACATCGGGATCCTCCTCCATAACTTTTTCCAGAAAATCCTCTTGAGGATCCTGAGGATGTAATCTTGATGCTGCCTCCACCACAGATCCTGCCACCACCAACACTACTTCCACCACCCTTAATGCCACAACTCATAGTGAATTCGGTTTAGAATCCAAATCCTAGAAAAGCCCCACTTAAGCTGCACAGCCTGATACTGGGATTCTGACTGCAAGTGCTTCATCCTAAGTATCCGTATTTATATCTCCTATAGAGGGAGTTGCCACAAAGGCTGTTCCTGGTCCCTCCCATGGCATTTGCCAATCCCTTTGTTTATGCCAGAAATTATCTCCCAGTGGGAGAGGTTTTTTTAAAGCTATCAAAGGCAATCTAGTATGTAGCTGGCTTTGTCACTCTCACAGAAATTTTAAGTGGTGATAAAGATACAGGTACATATTCAGCCTTACATTTTGCTTTTTCTCCTGTATGTTTCAGCTGTTGTGTTCCAGCACATCATCAACTTTGACAGTGAAGGAAAATGCCTTCATAAAGTCTGTACATGAAAAGAAAAAAGGTGAATTTGTCTTCTGCTGGTCATCCTTGAACGGACTAGTTATGCTTAGAGATGATCCATTGAAATCAATGGGGCAAGGGTTCTGTAATTAATTTTGTTCTTCATTTTACATTCTAAAATGGGCAAATAAGGAACAAATATATTTTGCTAATTCTTACTGCTCAGTATCACCACTGTGGTTTTATGGAATGGGGCAATAGATATTTTGTACACCCTTTAGCAGAATTCTTTTGCAACTAAATGTAAAAAACAAATATCAGAAATGTTCCTTTGAAAACCCAAGTATCCAGTCAAGATTATCATAATTTCATAACCTATGGCTAAAAAAAGATGGAAATTCATCTTCAGAGAAAGAGCAAGAGAGAAGGTGAAAGAGAGAAAGAGAGAGATTACATATACATACATATATATTATGTCTAAATGTGAGTGTCAAATGTAATAATTACAATGTTCTCTGCTCTTCTGATAGTTAAAAGTCTTAGAAGAACTTTCAGAGTGTTCATCATTAAAGTAACATAAATGGTCATCCTACTTCCATAGACATATAGTTCTTCCATGTCAGGATAAATTAAAGGAAAATCCACCACCACCATCATCATCATCATCATCATCATCATCATCATCATCATCTCCCATACCTTCATCCAGAAGGTAGTTGCTAGTTTGGAACAGAAAATCTTTAAGCAAAATAGATTTTAAAATATAGCAGTTAGCAATTAGCAGCACAATCTTACATACTGTATATATCTACTTAGAGGCAAACTCCAACTTCATTGAACTTTAGCATCAAATACAAGAAAATTAAAGACACAGCAAATAAAAAATAAAAAAGGTTTTGTCATTGTCCTAATCTGAAGAGAGTTTATTCTGGAGAATGATATACAGTAAGTAGCTAACCATATGTGTACCCCTTTGGTATTCTTCAAGTTTTTCAACTATTATTTTTTATATGTTCATGGTGCCAAATTGTGAAACTGTAGAACGGACCCCATAACCTGGTATCTTAATTCTAAATTCTATATGGATGATGATGATGATGATGATGATGATGATGATGATGAAGAAGAAGAAGAAGAAGAAGAAGAAGAAGAAGAAGAAGAAGAAGAAGAAGAAGAAGTCAGTGTCAACTCTTAGTAACCACATTGACTCTTAGCAATTATAGTTGTTGGACATTGTATATTAATAAAGAAAGATTTTGGAGAGGATGAGCTTTACACTTCAATGCATTTTTAATTAATATAAATAGTTTTGTGGTTTCTTTGTTTTGTTTTGATGATAGTTAACATACACAAAATTAATCAGATAATAAAGCATTTTTTTTCATAATATGATACAAGGGAGAGCAATTTTGGGGCAATAAGGAGGACTACTTTTAAATTTTGGAAGAAGGGCCAAGTCCCCACAGGAAGGGCAGTAGTATACTAATGTCATCAAAAAAAGTGGAATTAAGATTTTTAGCCTGATTTTTATTGTTCTGGAGTTGAGGTTCTGGATTATTTTTTTTCTCCACTGTTTATATCCCATGATGTAATGGCAACAACTTTTAACTCAAATTTCTTGTCAGGAATGTTCTTCAGTAGAAGACTTTGGATACTAGGAGGCTAAATGTAAGTGGATCTCCAGCTGAATGAAATTCTTTTTTTAGATATTCTTTGTAATATTTCTTATTCACATTTTTCCTTCCGGTAGTTCTTTTCCAGTTAGCACAGCATGGGAGTCTGCATTCAGGACCTGTGCATTGCTGGCAGTTTTCTGAATTTTCATACTCACAATGTCCTATTTATATTACCACTTATCTCATTCAAGGAACTGGGATTTCGCTCCTGAAACATTTTCATAACCCAGCTGACGTGGCAAACATGGAGGGGGGGGGGGGGAGAGGCCTGAGGCACACCTGTGCAAGCCACCTTTAATCCACTGACCACCTTTTGAGACAATCTATTCCATAGCTTACCATATTTCACTTTATCACTTTATTGTGGTATTCAGCCAGATAATGTTGATATCTGAAGCAACAAGTTCAACAGATACTTCTGTTTTATTCAGTCTTTCCTAATGATGTTCCAGTTGGGATCAAGATCTTTTTGTAGTCCATCTCTCCATTTTGTAGGATGTTGTCCAAGTGGGCATGTGTATTACCATATAACCACATTTGGGCTGCAAAAATCTGGATGACTACTAGATATGAACCACCTAGTAGTTTTTCAGCTCTTTCTATGATGTACTTACTATAGAGTAGTATACAATGCAGTTATGTTGTACTCCAATAAACTGACATAAGTGGAAGCCATTGCATACATTTGAACGCTTATACATCTTTTAAAAGATGTATAAGATGCTGTGAGTTTAAAGGCTTTGCTAGTGAGTGTGACCATAAGTCCTTGAATGCTTAAAAAAGCTTCTCTGATAGTGGTTAAATATGTGGAGTTGGATCTAGACAGTTGTACTAAATAACTGGATTTTAATTTAACTGTTTGGGGTTTTTTGTGCACAGTTTTATTTTATATCTGAGACAGATGAGGAAACAACATGATCCAAACAAGCAGTAGGAAAAATGAAGAAGCAAGGAAACTGAAATGTACAAAACCATCTCTTCTGATTTATTACATATCCATGTTGTTTGATTCAGACGTCCTCCAAAGTCAAAAGGCCAATATCAGAAATTTTTTTTTCAGTTAGATTTGTCCCTCCCGAAAATGTCACAAATTAGAACTTTTGGTAAGAGGCAGCGTACTGTAATTAAGGTAGCTAAATCAGGTTCAGCAGCATCAATCAGCTCTATTGCCAGTTAACTACTTTAGGAAGAGAAGAAGGAAAAAAAAAAAAGAGCAGCAGTCTCAGCCTTCTTTTGTTCAATGGGCTGTGCTGCTACGGGTAAGATTTAAACATCTGATAAAAGAAGCATTTTCATCTTGTGTGCAACTCACAGTGATCACACCCAGCATTTCGTCATCAATTACCTTTCCTTACTAAGCAACAACCCATTTAATAAGACTTGCTTGAACTGTCTAAACCAGTGTTTCTCAACCTTGGCAACTTTAAGAGGGGTGGACTTCAACACCCAGAATTCCCCAGCCAGCCATCTTAAGAGAGAGATATATGTCTTTAGATTGAATGGCATGAGATCCCTTCCAAATCAGATCCACACCCCCTTTGTGTTCATTGAGAAACCTGGCATTGGTATCTATAGAGCAGTGTTTCTCAACCTTGGCAACTTTAAGAGGGGTGGACTTCAACTCCCAGAATTCCCCAGCCAGCCATCTTAAGAGAGAGATATATGTCTTTAGATTGAATGGCATGAGATCCCTTCCAAATCAGATCCACACCCCCTTTGTGTTCATTGAGAAACCTGGCATTGGTATCTATAGAGCAGTGTTTCTCAACCTTGGCAACTTTAAGAGGGGTGGACTTCAACTCCCAGAATTCCCCAGCCAGCCATCTTAAGAGAGAGATATATGTCTTTAGATTGAATGGCATGAGATCCCTTCCAAATCAGATCCACACCCCCTTTGTGTTCATTGAGAAACCTGGCATTGGTATCTATAGAGCAGTGTTTCTCA